TCTTTCTTTTTCTTTCTGTTCCAAATATGTGTGTCGGTTGTACTCCTTTGTGTGACATACTGAGTGACGTATGCCATGGGCATTTTCACCACACGTGGGAAGTACAAGAAATTTATTAGTTTTAAAAATAAAAAAAGAATATATATGTCTGTAACAGAACTAACTACTACTAACATTTGGTGGATTTTTTGCATCCTTTATTTCCTGGTCATATTTGTGAATCTTATAGAAATTGGATACTGCATACATACCTTTTATTTTATATAATTATTTGCCATTAAATACTCTTTTTCCAGAGGACTTCTTGGCAGTTTGCTATTGTAGAAATTCTTTGAAAATTGTTGTGAAAACATCTTTGATAGTATATTTGAATGTCTCTTTAGGATGCAGTTCCAGATATAAGAATACTAGGTCAAAATATGTGACTGTTTAAAGGCTTTGATAAATTGCCCTTCAGAAGTGCTGAATCAGATTTCAGCTCCCAGTAGAGGATGTGTCTCCCTGCACTGAATGGTTGGCGCTGGTCCTGTTGAGATGGGAGCACTGACAAAGATAGGAGCAGGGAGGAATGACTACTAGGGTGGAAGATAAGAGAATCAGATGTTCTGGGGTATGGGAAATGAGTGGAGTGAAATGTGGGATATTTTTAAGGAAGTCTGAAAGATGGAAAAGTGGAGCTGGAATCCAGCGGTCCTGGGGGAGCCAGGGCAGACTGTGAGCTGGGGAGGGAGCTCAGGGCTGTGCTCTGGAAGGTGGCCGTGTTCAGCACAGTCTGCATTGTGCTGCCATTCCAGGAGCACTGGCCCCTCCTCCTCCTCATGCCTTCACTTGTGCTATTCCCTTTGCCTGAGTGCCCTGCTTTCCATGTGCCACCAGAACTACGTTTGTCTTTTTGTTCACCTAGCACTCAATGGTAGGACAAGTCATATGACTTTTGTAAAATAACTTGGTGTGCCACTGTCTTGCATCAGAATATGTGCTTATGGTGACCCAGTTCTGTGTCCATGTGTCACGTCACTGTCATTGTGGGACCTAGTAGGTGCCAATACACATTCACCAAAAGAATCCCAAATATTGCATTGATCTTGTACAAGCACACTCTAGTGCAGGAGATCTGTGCACCAACAAGACAGGATCTGTCTCTGTATAGTCTCTGAACCGTCGTCACACAGGGCTCTGCTTTAACTTTTCTTTCCCTCCCTACGCAGAGATGGCTAGTTGCTGACTTTTAGAGATCACCTCCTCTCTCGCCCCTACTTCTGGTGAGCATACGGCTTGACTCCAGAAATGTTTGCAAATCACAGTTGTTTATGAGAGAACTTCTACTATAATATTAACTATGAAGTTAAGAAATTGGGCAGACTACAGGGCTGGGGATTTAGCTCAGAGGCATAAGCACCTGCCTTGCAAGCAAGCAGTCGTGAGTTTGATCCCTGGTACCGATAAAAAGACAGACAAACAAACAAACAAACAGAAATTGAGGCAGACTTTAAACTTAGGTTTCAGAAGATACGTTATATTGAATTTTAATTTTAAAACGCAAGGGCAGGAGCCAGGGATATAGCTTAGCGATACTGTGCCTGTCTGACAAGCCCAAGGTCCTGAGTTTGACAGCCAGTACAAAACAAACAAACAAATACCCCAAAAACTCTTAAGGACAAAAATTTCAGAATTAACTGTTGTTAAATGTTGACACAATTCTGGTCTCTTCTATATGTATTCTTTTAAGCGATTAGATATTGTATGAACTCATTGTTCTTTAAAAGCCTATAGTCTAATAGGTAAACTGCAAGATTCTGCAAACTTTCAACCCCGCTTCCTATATTTTTAATTTTTTTGAAGTGGAGCTGTTTTAAAAATGAGATTATATATTAAAACCCAATATTCATTCATTAAATACGTGAGTAACTGTGTCCCATGTACTGTCATGTGATGGAGAAATGTTAGCAATTCATTAATGACCCCTTAGGTCACTGCTACAGCTGGGTGGTCAGGATAGGCTCTGAGAAAGTGCCAAGGTCTTAATGATGAGGAATGTTCACTTTACTGAGGCAGGAGCCAGCCTGCTTGCAGTACAGCAGTGCCTTATAAGAGGAATGCTGCACAGCAGGGCGGAGAGATGGGAGCCAGAGTGTGGAGGCCGTGGAGGCTTTTGGAGGACTGTTGCATATTCTTACAGTTGCAAGGAGTGCCCACAAGAGGTTATTATAAATAAAATACCTGCTTGGTGTGGTGGTGCACATCTGTAATCTTAGCACTCAAGATGATTGAGGCAGGCTAGTGCTGCAAGTTCCAGGCCAGCCTGGGCTAGAAGGTGAGTTCAGGGACAGCTTGAACTCTGTCCCAAAAAACAGAGATGGATACTTAATTTTACAGTACACAGAGAAGGTAGAAACAGGGCTGTTGAGATTGAAGCTTAAGGGAGAAACTCAATTTAGCCTGTACCGAATGGTAGGAGTTCAGGGTACCTTTTGATTAATGGTTGGGATTATTATGCCTTGAGCATTTTTAACAGGTTAACTCTGGACTGAAGACAACACAGCCAAAGACTTCTTACTTCCACTTTATCCTCGGGTTTTGAATCTAGAGAGGTCTTTGTGTGTCTCACATAGCTTCTCCTGTTGGCTTTAAATTCCGCCCTAGAGGTAATACAGCTCTGATTCTGTTACAAGGCAGCAACCCTGAAATCAGATCAAAAGTCGATGAGGGACTCTGCCTTCCCCTTGGGCTTTATCTCTTTGTCTCTTTATCTCTTTGTCTCTTGGTGGAGGGTCAGCCTTGTCTGTGAGGGAACACTGTGGTTTTATCAGTGATTGTCAGCATGGTGACATTAAACACATCTCTGCTGCTGATCCACACACAGTCTGTGCTCTGGAAACGCTTGGCATTCTCCAGCAAGGCCTCCTGTCTGCGATTCTAAAAAACGAGAGCAGTCTCTCTCCCTCCTTTTCTTCTTGTGTCTGTCTGTCTTTCTTGGTTTCTTTGTTTCTTAAGAGGAGACCTGTTTGAAAGGCCGCAGTGCTCATGGTTTCTGCCTGGAATCTGTGCTTTTGTCCCCTCCCCCTGCCCTGCCAGTGGTGTGTTTTTGGTCCTTTGCTCTTTTTAGTCCTAGAAGAGCCAATTTATCCACTTTCTTTTCTTTTCATCCTGTCTCTCTTTTAAAAATAAGAAGTTACAAATATTATACGTGACTGTACACCCATTATTAAAAGAATAACATAAGAGGAATGTTCTATTTCTTGCCTCTTCTCAACCCTATTTGTCTTGGAGAGTTAGGAATTTACTGTGCATCTTTCCAAACCTTTTGCTGTGCATTTACATGTAAAGGGTTGAGGTTTTTTGTTTTTTGTTTTTTTCTTTTCCATGAGGTTATTTTTTAAAGACTCATTGGCATCATACTATGGACATCATGCTTCTTCAACTTGCTTTTGCACTTACAGTACTGCTTAGGAATTTTTTCTAAGACAGTATATAAAATTCAACATTAAAAAGTCTACAATCATTAAACACATGTTTTTGTGATGAAAATTCCAAAGGGTATAAGTGAGAAGGCATTTTCCTGCAATTGTCTGTTTTTGTAGGAACAGGGGACCCCTAGGAAAGGAAAATGTAGAGCAAAGGCTTCACGAGCTTTATTAGAAATTAATAGACAACTTTGACTTCTGCTACCTGACTTAGTGCTTAGAAGCCCAAAGGCAGCTGGACTCCAGCAATTAGGAAGACCAAGGTGAAGAAACTAGCTCTGCTAGTAGGTAACAGTAGAGTGATTCATGTGAGAGTCACACACTTCCCCTTAATCTTAAGTAACCTGTCCTTAAAGTCCCCACACATAACTTTACCCTCTACCAAAAGACAAGAGAGGTCCCAGGGCCAGAAGAAATCCAAGGTTAAAATGAAAGCAAGCCAGGGAGCCAATCAGATTCCAGGAGCCAACACAGGAAGAAACCTTACAGGAAGAGACTATGAGCCAGGGCCCACCAGCAATTCTCTTTGGAATTCTCCCTACTCTTTCTAGTAGATGCCTCTCATCTCATCTTCCCTACTTTCCCATCTTCAAATAAATAGCCTTCTTTCACTTTAAGTGTAACCTCATTCTTTACTGACACTGAGTTTAGGAATGCTGGGACCTGCTTTTTCCAGCAAAGTAGTGGTTTACAGTCCATGCCTGGACGTGACATTTTTATTTTTGTGGTTATTGCTGTTATAACACTGTTTCATATATATTCATAAAGACATAATACCTTTAAAGCATATACCGCATGTCTTATATACTATAGAATTACATATTTTAAAGAATGTATGTATCTGTACATGAAAGTGTTTCTGTTTATGGTTTCTTGAACATTTTTCCTTATCTACATACACAGATGCCTCATTCTTTTAATGAATGCATAATATTCTGTTGTGCAAGTGTTCTATTTCACCTTTCTGTTTGAAGATCACAGAACCCTGCTAGCAAGTCTCTTGTTTTGACACAAACTTGAGTTGTTCAATACAATAGACATCACTGAGACATGGAGGCTGCCTTCCCCACCCCAAACACACGCACACTGAAATAGCACGGTCTGACCAGAAGACACCTTTGTAAGAAACTCAGAATGTGACCCTTGCTGGGATGGAGGGATAAATCTTAGCATCCACACAGTATAATTAATTCCACTTAAGGAAAGTGGAAAAGATCTTCTAGGGACAAGGAGCAGAAGTCATTTTTGCTGGGAGAAAAACAAGAGCAAAGCAGGCAGGTAAGTGAGTGGCCAGCGGCTCAAGGTAACTAGAGCACATGTCCTGGAGTGGAGCTGTCAGAGCTGCACAGTTGGATAGCAGAAGGTCACAGGGAACGTTCAGCTAGTGGATCAAAGACACTGCCCAGCTGGACTCTGACCCGTTATAGTGTGTCCTCTGTTGGTCTGGCACAGGGCTGTTTTCTTGAATTAGTGTGACTTTTTAAACAGTTCTTTTATCTATTTTGCCCTTAACCATGCCATGTCCTCTCTTCACAGAGTTTAGTCACATCAGGAAACAGAACAGAATTCAGCCATGGCACCAAGGAAGAGAGGTGGACGAGGGATTTCATTTATCTTTTGCTGTTTCCGGAATAATGACCACCCAGAAATCACGTATCGGCTGCGAAATGATAGCAACTTTGCTCTTCAGACTATGGAGCCAGCGCTGCCAATGCCCCCTGTGGAGGAACTGGATGTCATGTTCAGTGAGCTCGTGGTGAGTTGTGGACATCTGTGCAGAGCTGGTGGGGAGCGAGGGAGGGAGAAGAAAGGGTCTACAGGGGTTGGCGGGCTCTTAGTGGGTGGAGCACTTTGACCTGCAGGTAGTGCTATTTCTTGATTTGTCCTAATCTCACCTGAGTCTGTATGTGTGTGCATAAATAATCCCTCCATCTATTTTATACCTTCTGGGATTTTCTGGTAATTACCTGATCCCCTTCCAATGTATATTAATTTCTTTTTTAAAATTACACTTGCCAATTTGTTGTTGATCCTTTGGTGAAAGACATTAATACTTAAGTGCAGTATCATTATTTAGCCTAATGATACGTTTGGAATAATAACTGTTGTGGGAAACTTTTTATAGATCCTATCATACTTTTGATACTGGGGATGGAACTCACAACCTGGCACTTACCAGGCAGGTGCTTATGCCGCTCAGCTAAATCCCCAGCCCTCTATCATATTTTTGGACACATACCCTTAAGTGAGGTCATGTGTCTCGTGTAGGACTTGTTCATCAAGAGATGCAAGTGCACTCATCACCATTACTTTCCAGGCATTGCCCAAGTGGCATTTCTTTCCATTCTGTTTCAGAGGCATAGTTTAAAGAGGCTAAAAGACCTTGGTTTAAATTACTGCTCTTTATCTACAGTATAAATATAGAGCCTGTTTTCTGGAAAGTGGAGAAAAACATACCTCCTCCTAAGTTTGATGTAATGTTTAAATGACAACAGTCCACAGTGGGAGTGGCCCTGGCTCATAAATGTGCTCTGTACATGTTATAGGAGTTCTGAGTCCTCTCCTGATCACTGGTGATGATTTGTAATGGATTGGCTTCTAATCAAACCATTTAGATTGTTCCACAGGTGCTGTAAAGTGCTGTCATTTTTATGATTTTTAAGTCAAGAAGGCAGGCTTGTGGAACTTGAGCTCTAGAATGTTTTGGAAGTGACTATAGACCAGAGTTCTCTTACAAATCAAAAAGATGAGTCAGTCTGAGAGAGCCTGTGAAGCTGATGTTTGCCTTCTGATCTCTTCAGTGAAATAACAGCTCATTTTCAACCAAAATTGGTTGGAAAAAAGAAGTGGCTTTTGACAGCATATCTGTACTTTACAGTACTCAATATTTTCAGTATTTAAGAAATCTATTCCCTTTCTCTTGCTGCTTAATGTAGAAATCTATGTTATGTATTGATGAAGCAGTTCAAGATGGAAAGCTAGAACTTGGCCCACAGAGATGACAGTTACAGTAGCAGAATGAGATCAGTAATAAGGGAGGCATAATGCCACCAAAGGAGTAAGCCCAGAACACCTGCATAGACGTGTGTGTGTGTGTGTGTGTGTGTGTGTGTGTGTGTGTGTGTGTATGTGTTACGGGCATCAGATGGGTGGTGGTAAGGTATATGGTCAAAGAAGACTTTCTGGAGGAAGTGAGCTGTCAGCAGGAATTGAAGACCAAAGAAGCGCAGGGATCAGGTTTAGTGGCTGTGTCATCTTAAGCTGACTCCTGCAAAATCTTCTCATTCACAACAGTATAGGCTCATTTCTTGCTAGCTCTGCTGTGGATCAGCCTTGACTCAAGAGGAAAGGCAGATATGCAACCCACCAACAGGCTGTAACTCCATGTAACACATCACTGTGTCTCTCTCATTGTCAGTGCAGATCACACAGCCATTCTTGAGATCCTGGGGTAACAAGGTCTCTCTTCTGTAGGAACTGGCACCACTAGTCACGTGGCCTTTTCTGAGGTTACTGAGGTGTGTGGAAGACACAGTTCTTTCCTAGGGAGGGGCAATGAAACATACGTCATAGTGGCTATCAGGAAGAGCAGTAAAGATGCTTTTATAGGCTTGGTTTTATGTCCCACTTAAAGTACAGTATTTTAAAACCAAAAGGCAACCTAAGGAGACAGTATCACTGATAGCCAAAGACTTCCTCAATGGCAGTGGACCCAATGAGCATGACTTAAGCCTGCCAAATGTTGTGTGCCCATTCTGTGTGAAAATTCCCTATAGCTGTTAGTTCTTAAAAAACCAATGCCAAACCAGGTCTCTAAGCCAAAACCAATGGAAAATAAATTATCCTGACATTTGTGTTTGTCCTGGTGAGTGACAATGGATTTTGTCTGCTCCTGACTTTAGGGACCTAGGCCACAAATCCTTCAGCTGCCAGGGGAGGCCAGAGGCAAGAGAGAGGTTTAGAGCTGCCGCAGGCTTCTGCTGTAGATTCCCCTGAGCACTTGCAGAAGCTGTCCTGCCTCTGCTCACATATAGGAGAGGGAGGAGTGACACATAGTGCCTAGGCTCTGCAGCCAGACAACACTGCCAGCCACAAGACTTTCAGGCCAGGGAAATTTCCATCAAGGCAGGCTCTGTTTGAGTGGGGCTAATACCATTCTCTGAGAGAGATTGTGTGAATATTAAAAAGGACAACTTCTTTTAAATAGACTGGCAGACTTAGTAAATATATTGTACCCCGTACCCAAGTTTAGCAGGAAGGATGCAAGATAATGCAGGGTCTCTTCTGAACACAACTCTAGGCAGATATCCTGAGGTTTTTCCTTTTCTCAGAAGCTGATATGCTTGCTTTGAGCAAGGTGCTGTGGGTCCTGACTTACTTGCAGGCCTCTTTACATCTGTTGGAGAGCATCTCATGAGAGCTGGTTATTGTAAGCAAGCTTCCTTGGCCACCTCTGATGAGTCACTCACTTGATATTTTTAAATGTGATATCACATGGGTTTCTTTGAGAACAGCTTGCTGCAACCTTATCATCTCATAAATAAAGCAAGCCTGAATAAGAGGTTAGGTAGGTGAATCTTTAAAGAAGATGACCAGCAAAGTGTGCCTTATTCTCTAGCAGGCTTCTGAGGCAGGCAGGGGAAGTGGAACTATCCAATCTCAGGCCACAATGCATTCTGGAGGACTTAGTTCCACATCCTGCATAACTTATAAACCAACAGTTTTATTGAGACATGATTCACATCCCATATAATTCACTAATTTAAAAGGTGCAGTTCAGTAGCTTTCCATGTATATTCATAGAATTGTGCAACCATCATCGTGATCAATTTTAGGACATTTTCATCACCCTAAAAAACAGCCTTCATATCTGTAAAGCATCATTCCCTGACAACTACTAATCACCTTTCTGATCTCATGGAATTTAGGTTTATGTAAATGGATTCATACAATATATGGTCTTTTGTGATTGGCTTTAAGTCAGTTTTCCTTAATGCTAATGTTACTTGCTGGTGTATATATAACTGGTTGATATTATAACCTATAGTTGAGGTCTAATAGTTTAGTGTTTAAGAAATCTATCCCCTTTCAATGAATCCCCAAACATCATTCTAACTGTGAGTAAAAGTGAAAACCACCACCATTTCAGGTCAAATCAAACCAAACCAAACCTAATACCAACCTAAAAAAAATCTTGTTTTTAAGTTCATCCATTACAGCACATACTAGTGTTTTGTTTCTTTTCTTTTTTTTTTTTTTATTGCCAAATAACATTCAGTTGTATGGCTATAGGACATTCTAAAAAATCCACTCATCATTGATGAACATTTGAGATTTGCCAATTTTAGCTAACATGAATATTGCTGCTGTAAATATTGATGTGCAAGTTTTTGTTTAGAAACAGGCCTTCACTTCCTGTAGGTGTGTACTGAGGCCTGGAATTGCTGTACTCTAAGGGAATAGTTTGATTAACTTTTGAGGAATGATCAAAGTGTTCCCAAATGACTGTACCATCTTAAGTCTCCTCCAGCAACACTTATTCTTACTCATTTATACCTAGTTGATTAACCAGCTGCTTTTAAAGCTGTTTTGTAGCTCCTAAAGAACTATCACTTGAGTTATTTTTTTGTGAGTTGTCAAAAATAGTCTCCTAACAAATTCTAAACTATTTGAGCTATTTACAAATCAAACCTTATCTGTTTAGTCTCTGCTAACTATGTGTGTTCTGCCTTTTGAGCAGTCAGATACTCATTCCTACACGCTCTGCCCCTGCCTCCTCCTCCCCTTTCCAGTTCTTCCTCCTTACCCTGCCTCAGTCAAAATGAAGAACACAAGTGCTCTGAGACTGAGCACTGGCTCTTTAAAATGAGATTTAGATGCTGGGCATGGTGGCGCTTGCATACCTACTTCTCAGTAATTGGGATGCTGAGGCAGAAAGAGTTTGAGGCCAGCCTGGACCACATAGTGAGTTTGAGGCCAGCCTGAACTGCATAATAAGATCCTGTCTCAAAACACAATAAAAAGGGTTCCACTATATTTTTTTCCTTCAAAGACTATAAGGGTTTAGTAGGTTAAACACTTAAAGGGTTTATTGGGTTATCCCTACCTGAAAGGCCCAGGCAGGACTGTGCTATTCATTGCCCTTGTTTCTATCTCAGCATTGGCAGGAGCACGTCTCCTTTGGGAGGGGTGAAGCATGGTCAGTTACCAATCACTGGTTCTGAGTGTGGGTTAAGTGCCAGTCTGTGCCAGTCCTGAGACAGGACCCTTGATGATGTCATAGAGCTGAAAGTCTACCAGAGAGGACCAGCTCCTCTGTGTGTGCTCTGATAAGTGTGACTGAATGGTGGGAGAAGGGCCACTCATGCAGTATATTTGTTAGGGAAGAAGCTTTAGTCCTTGCTTTTTACAAAGAGAATGTTTCACTGAAATAAAACTCCAGGCCTCTTTGCACTCTCCTCCTTGCCTTGCCCTTTTTCTGTTCCTCTACAAGTTCAGGTCATCCCAGAACACACACAGTCTGTGTCCTAGGTGCTGTGCATGTCCCAGGAGTGAGGCCTGTGGGGAGGTGTACAGTTGTGTGGGCGGCCTCCTGTGAGTGATGGGTCCGTGTCTCGTTTAGTCCTGAGGACTCCGTGGCGCCTGTCTGTGGATGGAAGTGTGGCACTCCAGTTCTGCTTTCAGGAATACAAGCAGGGTATCTGAACTCTTATCTGCTTGGTTCCTTAGTTTAGTTCTCAGTTAATTCTAAATTTG